TAATAGATCTAGTAGCAAAATCTTTTGAAACTTCTATCAAAGTTCCAACTATTAAAGACCTAATATTAGTTTCTTTTACCATTAATTTAAGATTATCTGCAGTGAAAAATTGGCTTGATGATAGTCGAACTAATTGATCTGCAAGAACATTAACAAATACTTCAACGAATCTAAATGAAGAAATATCCTCGGAATTTTTATTAAAAAAATATTTAGCAATAAGATTCTGGCAACGTTCAGTCGGTAGAGGCTCTTTGATTGCTTTATCGGTTCGGAAGAGTATTTCTTTTGCATCTACCTCTTTGCGATCATACAGGTTCAAATAATGACTAGTAACCTGAATTGGACTATTAATTTCTTGAGAAATCTTCAAATTTTTTATATTCCATGTTAAATGATTGAATAATAAATATCCGGTCATAGGAAGAGAATTAAGTAAATGCTGTTCCGTGGTCGAAGCAACTTCGATAAATATATTTGTCGGTGTTCCTGGAAGACAAGCTATATCAACATTGGTAGAAACTATTCCCAAAGTTAATAGCTCAAATAAGAACATATTGACATCTTGAGGATGATCTGATGATACTATATTGATATGCAAACTTTCCATGGGTCGAAGTTTACATTCTTTGAATTGGCGTACAAGCCTTCCAAACTCCATACCATCGCTTATTAAAAAGCTACGCGGAATTTTCTTTTTAGCGAAACTAGCTTCTTTAATCCATTCGGACTTGCCTTGACCCGATAAATCAGATGAAACACGTATAACATTTTGACATAATTCTCTATAAATTCCTCTCATTGTTTCAGTGTTTAAACCATTAGTTGCATGGACATCTAAAGAGAATTGATCTAAAATATGATGATGCATTCCGGTTTCTCTACAACAAATAAGTGCTAAAAGATAATCTTTCTCCTGATCATGAGATTCTCGCATTGACCTAATTTGATTAACTAAATTATATTGGAGCTCAAAGTCTAATAATTCTAAATTTGCAATACAGAATAAGTGATTTTCATATCCATTTTTTGAAGCAAAGAAACTTCTTTTAATGAAGATTGTAAGCTCTTCCATTGTAGTTGAAGAAGTGCATATCAAAAGTTGCCATGGTTCAGGATAAAACCCATGATTAGCATATAATGACATAATAATGTTCGGAACTCGCGCTTTGTCAGAACAGGCAGCAACGAATAGTTTACCCTTTACAACGATATCCGACATTACGCGTTGTCCAGAAGCTTTGAGTTTACGTGATAGTTTTGGAATATCTCTGAAAATTCTTATTAATACGTCACCGATCTCACCAAGAAGTTTAAGATACTCTATGGATCCACGTGAAACTCCTTGTTTGCGAGATGGTAATTGAGCTTTGCTGTTTACAAATCTAATCAATGTTTTGCATTCTTCTTCACTTTCCTTATCTAATTTTTCCGATGTGAAATAATCATAAAATGCTAAAATGTGACGAGCAGGAAAAAATGTTAAATAATAACACCTTTCTTGTGCAAGATTCACTATATTTTTCCTAGTGTAAAAATAATACCTCGTTAACTTTTATTTTAAAATAAAAAAATAAAAATAGTAAAATAGTAAAAATAAGTTTATTCACCAGTTTTCCAGTTCATCCTTTAAAAAAATAAGGTAATCTTTCAAGTTTTCTGTACCACGTAATTTTTTTTCAAACATTCTATAACCAAAATGTCCCATTTGGATCATCACAGATACAACGTTAATTATTTCCTGCGCAACATCCACTTGAGCAACAAATTCATCCATAACATTTTTTGACATTTCCGTATCTTTATCGTCTATAATATTATTAACTGAAGTTTTTGGTTTGGCGATTAAAAGAGCTCGTCCACGTAAATCCAAAATCTCATTCAAATTATACATCACGTTAGTTTTAGAGGGATATTTTAATGAGACTAAACATTTATCGCCTTTTTGGTCGCGCGTAAACGTAAAAATCCCATTGTTTACAGCATTCTTGATTTATTCTGTTGTAACTTCGCCACGGTTTGAAATGTTGTTATACATGTTTTGTAATGCCATGTTGCTATTATTACATAATGCAATCTTTTTTCCTAGAGTAGAGTTCTTCTTGATAACCAGTTGTAGCGCTACCAAAAAGTCGGCGACGGATTCCATTTTACTTTTATCCATAAGAGGAATTAAAAATTGTTTGACCTGAATAAGCGAAGAAACTGTATCCTCTTGGATCAATCTTTCATCTGAATGGTCATCGACTCCATTAATCAAATTTTTAATATCATGTTGAGCAATCTTCCTTAAGAAACTCATAAAATCATCGGCAATTGATAATTCTCTTATCAATTTCCAACAATCATCATTAACATTGGAAAGATTTCTATCAAGGTAATCGAAAAAATTGTTAATTTGACCAAGCTTCATAGAGTCATCTTTTAAAATACGAATTGCTTTTGATAACCAATCGTCTTCATTATGAGGTATTTTGAAAATTTCTACAACCTTTTCTAATTGTTCTAGTCGCCCAATCCAGTCAGGAATTTTTGAAAGATGATCAAGAGTTTGTACAAATCTTTGGTTTTTATAGGATTTATAACCATCCATTAAATCGAGTTCAGCATTAACGTCCATAACATTTTTCCAGAGCAAAGATGCGTCTGAACATTTGAGTTTTTCCCATTCTTTAAACTGTTTGCACATGGTGAAATATCTTTCAAAAACAACTGGCATCAATTTTTGAGCTATATATTCCACACTTGTTGCAGCAGCATCTTCTCGAAGACAAGCATCAAAGATATTCCTGAATGTTTGGGCATTGTTATATTTGTAACAACGTATTGCACTGTCTAACGTTTTCTCATGGAAAGCCCAGTAATCTGATTTTAATACTTGCTTCAACATAACTTTATGTGAATTTTGCATATGCTGTTTTACGTCCTTAATGTAAGCATTTACATCTGTAATTTGAGTAGCCGAACAAAATCCGCTATAAAACTTGAAAAGTATATCGAGTTGATGTTGATAATCTTTACAATGTTTTCTAAGTTTAGCAATTTCTTCTCGAGAGACTATTACAACACCCAAAATTTTCTTTTTGGCAACAGCTGCATCGAAATGTTGAAATAATTTTTCATCAGGATATTCTAAAATTTGTTGTAACAATTTTATATCGATCATTTTCTCAAGAAGTAATCCCCCAAGTTCGTTGATACTTGTTTTAGTATTATTAACAAATGAGTTTGCATTAAGCTTTGAGACACTTCCGCTAGCGCGTAATATAATGTTCCAAAATCTATTAGCTTTTAAAGTATTTAAATGATACTCCGAAGGGCTAGATGCTGTCGATTGGCCTTGTAATCTCGTCATTATATGGTACAAAAGATCTTCACTCATCCTAACAAAATTTAAAAAGTTTTAAAAAAAAAAAAATTTGATTATAGCATTCTTTTGAAAAGAACTTACGAATTCGGAATTTCGAGAAATTTTCCTTTGCAATCGCAAATAATAAATATCTTATGTAGTAACTGATCATTAATTTGTTGAACGTTCTTATTTAATATTTCTTTTACCATATCTAAAAATAATTTTTTGACATCATCTTGTTTTATTTTCATTATCAATTTTGTTGCGGAATAAATTCGAAGTTCAGAACATCCCTTTATTCTTCCTACGGCAATTTCTGTTAAATCTCGCCAAACATTGATCCTTTTACCAAGCAAAGGATACATGCGTTCTAATCGTTCAAATACCGCATAAATAAAGTTACTTTCATTTGACGTATTTGTCTCATTTGTCCCAAGCTTGGTCAAAAGTAGTGTAAACCAATTTACACAAATATTTGGTATCTTTTTCTTTTTGGTATCAGAAAAACCACTGCGAAACCAATCATCCAAAAGTTCCGGAAATATATTTAATAAATCCAAACTATGAGATTGGGATATCAACTCTAATGATAATATTATGTCATCATTACGCCAGTCAAGATCATCATTTTGAAGAAGTCTTTGTATAGCCAAAACATTCTGAACGGTCCACTTTCTAGATGGGCTTTCAAGTAAAAATAAAGCTTGACTCCGGAAGACAACAGAAACATTATCCCGATAACGTTTGTGTAGTCTTTTAAAATGGGACTCTAAGGAACAAGCATCGTCATGAGAAACATTTTCCCGAACTCGATCAATGAACGACTTGAATATTTGTTTATCCAATGCGTCATCATGCACAAGAACATCACTCCAAAGTTTAAAGAGAGAGTCCATGTTATGACATAATTGAATTAACCACTATATATTAACAAATATATTAAATTAATAATACTTTACGGAAAATATATATATATATATATATATATATATATATATTTTAAAAAATCTTACCTTGGCAAGTTTAACGTAATTTTCAAAATCAATGCCATCAACATAAAGACCAATATCTGCAACTCCTTTAATAAATTTTGCCAATAAATTGTCACTCGAATATTTTAAAGCCCGTAAACGGTCCATGAAGGTATAATTAGGATCTACTTCTGCAACAATCGTAAAAATTTTGAGCCATTGAAATTGCATTTTAAAAGCATTATGCTGGACTAAAGTTGTAACAGCGGTGTACATTGGATCTTTGGCGTCTGAAGGTAGGAATTCTTTTTTATAGTTCTCAAGTGCATCAAGAAGTATTCCAGAAGGAAAACCATTTGGTAATTCATAATGACCGTAAACCCCTTGTTGTCTTGGAATATAATATCCTAAGAGGAGGCATAAGAAAAGTCGTTTGTTTTTTGATCTGTCATCAATACGATCGAGAATAAATCTGAGATTTGACGCGCGAATTGTAAGATCGCTGTGAATATCTAATAAATGCTGATACTCCATAACTATTTCTTTAAGGTTATTTTCTCTTATAGTATTATAAATATAGTCTACAAAAGCAAAGTCGTGAATAGTGCTGGAAAGACGAAACACATCATTACTTTGCCATATGCAGAATTGGTGATTTCTCGCAATATCCAACAAACGATTGTCGCGATTGTCAAATCCTTCAAACACAGTTCTTTCGTCTCTACGATGATAGTAGGATTTGGGTATATGAATGGCAAATTTATATTGAATGTCATTCCTTTCTTCAATATTAGAAAACGAAATAATAACAGGTTCAGATTGCCAATATGTTGGATTTTGAGGAAATGGTTGACGCAGCTTTACATTAGGTTTTTCCCAATTTCCCAATTCTTTTCCATCGCCAAGAATTACGGGATTTCCTGTTTTTTCAATATCTTTTGGTAAATGGACATGAAAAATGACTTTTATTTCGTTTTCGTCATTGTTATTATTACCAGTTAAATTATTCCAAACGTAAGATAACGAAAAGTCACTTTTTTTCCCTTTATTATCGGTTATCTGGTGTTGATTGCTATCTTCTGAAAGCGAATGATATTTGTTGTTTGAGTTGAATTCACCAGGCATATGAACATTACTGTAAAGTCGACCACCTGATCCTTTATCACCTGAATGCGAACCATCATTTTTATCGGATCCACCGGGCATGGGCCCCTTCTCATAATGTAAGTCTTCATGTTTTGGCCCTTGATAACGTTCTTTATCAATAAATTTCCTAGGATTCTCACGAAATTGTCTAGGATCTTCTTCGAGGTTCCCATATCCAAATTCTCGATTTTCATAAAGATTGGACTGTGAAAGTGATTGGGTATTTTTACTGCGTTGATTGGTTTCATCATTGCGTCGTGAACCATGAAAGTTATTTTGCTTATTTTTATTTTGTTGTAACAATGGTTCTTCATCTTCTTCTTCATCATCATGCTGTTTAAGTTTTGAAATTATCGGTGTTTTCATCAATTCTTGAAATTCTTCATCTGTAACAGGTTTAATTTGTTTTTTTGATACTGAATCCGAATTATGGTCATCTTTTAATCTTATTGAACTTCTTCCTGTGGTGTTATCACTGCCATCATTATTACTCTTCTGTTGATAAGTTGATGTAATTGGTACTTGAAATACATCCTCAGGTTTAATTTGATTCATGGATTCTGCACCCGAATTATCACCATCTTTTCCTTCTGTTAACCTTCTTCTACCTGTGGTTTTAACATCATCATCGCGTTGTGAACCATCAGAATAAACGTCATTTTCCTTTTTACTCTTTGATCCTGAACCCGAATTATCACCACCTTTTCTTTCTGTTGAAATTCTTTCTGTGGTGGTATCAACGCCATCATTATTACTACTATGTTGATGAGATGATGTGAATGGTACTTGATTTTTGGATTCTGAATTCGAATTATCATCACCTTTTCTACCTGTAATCTTAGAACCATCGAAATCAATTACTTTTTCATCACCGTCTTTTATTTCTGCTGATCTTCTACCTGTGGTGTTATCATTTTCGGGTTGTGGATTATCGTAATCAACGTCATTTTCCTCTTTACTCTTCGATTCTGAACCCAAATTATCACCACCTTTTCTTTCTGCTGATCTACTACCTGAGATGTTATCGTTTTCGGGTTGTGGATTATCGTAATCAACGTCAATTTCCTCTTTACTCTTCGATTCTGAACCCAAATTATCACCACCTTTTCTTTCTGCTAATCTACTACCTGAGATGTTATCGTTCTCGCGTTGTGAACCATCAGAATCAACGTCATTATCCTTTTTACTCTTCGATTTTGAACCCGAATTATCATCACCTTTTATTTCTGTAGATCTTCTACCTGTGGTGTTATCATTCTCGGGTTGTGGATCATCGTAATCAACGTCATATTCGTTCTGGGTTGGTTTTCTTTGTGCTTGAAATACTTCATCCCTGAAGGTTTTTTTTGGTTCTAAACTCGGATGATCGGGATTGAAGCCTCGTACAGGTCTTACGACTTGTATTTTATGTCTAGCATCTTGAGGTTTTGAAAAAGAACTTTGATAGTCGTTAAATGGATTTTCTGAATCAAATGTATCCGTTTCAGTAAGTTTTTGCTTAGGTAAAGGATTTTCTTGATCAATAGATTCGTTTGATGTATTCGTAGTTTCAGATTTGTTTTTATGTTCATTGTCAGAATCATAATCCTTAAAATCCTTGGGCTGTGTTATATCTGTTGAATCATTGGTATTAGACTCGTCAATTTCCTCGTATCCTTTAAAGGGTACTTTCTCGGTTTGTTTGATTTTATTTCCGGACAAATTTGAAATGTCCGAGTTGGCATTATCTTGAAGATCAATATTTTGATTCTCTTCATTATTAGGATCATCATTTAGCCGAGTTTCTTCCTCACTTAAAACGTTGGTTTGACCAACAATTGTTTGAGTTGAAATATGATTTCCCCTTTCATGATGAACCATATTGACTGAGCCTTCTTCGGTATCATTCGTAGCAGGAAATACAATGGAAATATCATCATGATTTCCGATGTTTCCACTATTGATATCATTGCCCTTGCCATCGGATTTAATTTCGAAATCTTCTTCATCGTTACTTATCGTTTCAGTATTTTCTACTACTTTATTTTCTACAGTAGAGTTGACAATTAGATTAGAAGCTTCATCTTGTTTATCATCATCAGAAACTCCAGCTGGTAAATTATCTACAGGATTTGGAGTTACATTTTCAAGTACAGGAATTTGAATAGTATTATTAATCTCATCAGTTATCACTTCATTATCTGTAACGGTCTCTCCCTCCTTAATAACTACTACAATATTTTCTTCAGCATCTGAATGTGAAATTTTTACAGGAGAACCTTTATCCGAAGACTCTTCTCCACTATCGGAGGTAGTCGAAGTTATTATTTCGGTTATTTCAACCTTATTTTCATTTATAGTTGTTTCTTGAATATTAGGGTTTTCAGAGGATTCCATTTTTTTTAAACAAATTCGTTAGCAATAATAATAAAGAAAAAAGAAAAAAAAAATTCTGTTTTCTCTATATTACAAATGGTTTCCGTAAAATAGAATATAAAAAATAAAAAAAGAAAACCCCCAAGGCAAGAAAAAGCAAACACACGAACTTGACCAGTTTATTTTCTTTTTGGTCAACAAATGGTTTATATAATAAAATTCAGCCGGACCTTATATGAAAAAATCCGGAAAAACTTATATAAGAGATAACGATTGTTATGAAAAAAAAAGACTTTGTACTATGGATGATATGTTGGATTTAGTGTCCGTGTTTTTTTTTCTTATTTTTTTCCTTTATTGTTAAGATGCCTTTGTTGAGTTGTGATTTAATTAAAACAAATTAAGATGATCATTTGATTCTCTGTTTTTGTTTACAAAAAAGGAAATTTGTTGTTCCGCAGTAAACGTAAAAAGAAAATTATTTAACCTTAATGAAAGCTTTTGTTATCCTATTATTGATATTGAACGCAAGTAACATCACAAGCAAAAAAAAAACCAATTAAGGCATGTCTTCGTTTTTTCGTTCTAAGGATAGGATCTCCGGGCTATTCAAACGGAGGAAAAAAAGTTAAATAGTTTCACATCATATAACCCTTAATCGCCTATTTTAAAAACAGATGTTATCAGCCAATCATATAACAATGGTGGTATAAATTAATCAACATACCACTTTTGCAAGTTAAAGAAAGTTTGATTTATACAGTCGACCCTCTTTACAATCACACCCTTCGGGATCACCTTATAGTGTGATTGTATAGAGATATGCTTATATGTGATTATGTAATTTTTAAAAATTAAAATTATTATATTGTATTGTATTACATTTATATTTTATCTTTATTATATTGTCTTAACAACCAATTTTTTTTTATTTTTTTAGAGTTTTCAATACTTGATCTAAGGTGATAAATTCATTTCATTTCTTTTTTACTTTGTTCATTCTTTTGCTTAGTTATTAATTAAAAGTCAATTATTTGCTTAGTTGTTGATTAACAACTATTTTCTTTTTTTTTAAATCTTTAGGCTCTTCAGTTGGATCCTAGATGATAGGTTCATTCTTTTTGTTCTTTTCTTTGCTTCATTTCATTCTTTTGCTTGATTATTAATTAATAACTATTTTTCTTTTTTTTTAGATCTTTGAGCTCTTTAGTTAGATCTTAAACAATAAATTTATTCTTTTCATTTTCTTTCTTTATTTCATTTCTTTTTTCGCTTGATTGTTGATTAATAACTATTTTCTTTTTTTTAGATTTTTAAATTTTTGACTAGATCTAAAGTAGTAAATTCTTTTTTTACTTCATTTTATTCTTTTATTTACTTTCTTTTTTAGATGTTTCTTTTAGATTTTCAGTTCTAGATTTTAGATAGATATGGTAAGCTTTATTTTTTTTGTTTGTTTAAAATTTCTAAATTATTATATTCTTTTTTCTTTTTTAAATACAAGATCAGAATCAGCTTAGACTAAAGGTGCGATCCGTTCATTCGAAATCTGATTATCTGATCAAAATTCAGATTAAATTACAGTACGGATATGATTATTTTTGATCAAATAATATATGGATTTAAAAACTTTGAACGGATTTTCACCAAATTATCCGTATAATCCATTAATCTAATGAATAGTAATATATATGCTATAGTACTGACTGTACCGTATATGTTGTATAAAAATTTCCTGAAATGTAAATTTAATTGTAGTTAGTTACTATATAAAAAATATAGAATAAATGCAGAATTCTTTCATGTTATTAAATGCGTTGAACCAATAAAAACAATGGTTAATGAAGTAGAAGAACCTCATAATGATAATAGTGACACTGAACTAGAGCAA